TTTTTTCTTTCCCTTTTAAACTGCTCGCAACCAACAAACCAAAAAAACTCTTCTACCGCAACAAACTTTCTTTCTCCTTCTCTCCTCTGTCTCGTTCTGTTGACGGGACACGCGCCCCTGCAATTTCACCGCCATACATTTCCTAACCTCCTCTCTACGCTCTTCTATCCTTTGGTTCCACCTCTCTTTTACCTCTCTTTCCTTGTTTGTCCCATTTATAAAAAAATACTGCTGCTCCTGCTTAAAACAAACATTCAAAAACTGCTGCAAACCAACACAACACGCACAAAACACACAAAAAACTGCCAATACTTAGGTTAACGGCGTCTGCATGAGTCCCACCACTTCGGCATCGAACTCAGGCCGCAACTCTGCCGGCTTTGCCGTCGGCTCGCCCGGTTCGGCGGCCTCTTCAGCCACGCCCTCCACGCCAGGCGGTCCTCGGTCCAAGGTGGGGGCGGGAACGGGAGCGGGAGCGGCGGGGGCGGGGACGGCGGCAGGACTCAACTCCTCGCAAGGCTCGGCGGCGGCGGCAGCAGCGGCGGCGGCGGCGGCGGCCGAGCTGAAGCGCTCTCGTTCGCAAGGTACACGAAAGTTACAGATGATGCACACGATACACCAGAGCATGATGTCCATGCCGTACTACAACAGCAACACTACCAACACTACCAACAACACTTCCTCCTCTTCCACCAACACCACCACCACCACCAACAACTCCTCCTCCTTTTCGGGTGATCACCCGTTGCATCACCACCAGCAACTGTCGCGTCACCAGTCGCCGGAGAGGCACCGGCAGCAGCAGCAGCAGCAGCAGCCACTCAGCAATTCTAGTAGCATAAGTCATATTGGCCTGCATCACCACTACCACTACCACAGTCCCTATGGTGCGCTGCACCTCAGTGGTTCAGGTTGATATACAAGTGCACACACACACAAACCGATGATGATCATCATCATCAACAGCAGCTCTAACTATTTCTTTCTCTCTCTCTCTTTCTCTCTCTCTCTCTCTCTCTCTCTCTCTCTTTCTTAATTTTAAGCCTATTTTTTGCTTTTTATTTTCTTTCTACAAATCTACGCATTTTATTATTTTGTGATTTCACCTGTGATGATTCCGGGTGATTCACAACTTGTTGATGCGTGATTTTTCTTTATCTCATTTTTATTTTAATTTTTCCCTTTTTATTTTTCAATCTTTCTAGTTTGCAAATTGATTTTAGATTTTTTCCGAGCATTTTCTAATAGTTCATTTCCCTCTTTCTATCTTTTCTGCTGCCAGAACTTTTATTTTTTATTTTTAAACTTTTTTAACTAAATTTTTTTCTTTATTTATCCATCTATTTTTCCTTTTTGCTAAACTATCACTTGCAATCGTTTCTTTTAGGTAACCAATTAGTTTTTTGTAATCGATTTAGTTGCAAACCTTTTCTTGTATTTCATTTTGTAGACGTCTAACTGTCCCTTTCTATACCTTTTTAAGATTTATCCAAATTTTTATATTTTAGCATATTTTAAGCACACTTAATCAGTTTTTAGTTAAAGTAAACCAAATTTAAAGTAGTAGTTAGTGAAAATAATTAACTTTTTCAATATCAAAAACTTCAGTAGCACTTGTCGTTAAATGTTTTATTTAGATTCTTTTTCATACACAAAAAACTAGTAAGTCACCAGTGTTTTTAAGCAAAAAACTAGGTCAAATGCACTCAAACACTCTTTTCACACTTGTTTCACAAGCACACACAATTTGATTGCAAGATTAATTTTAAAAACAATCAATTTAATTAGTTCTGGCAGTTAATTTTGCTTAGTTTTTTATTGCAAACTTTTTATTTTATTGGAGATACTTGAGTAA